ACCTATGTGAACGAACACACACGCACGCGCCTTAATATTCATTCAGAGAATAATGAGATGTATTGTGTAACGTCAAAAAAGACCAAGCGGTAAAATAATATCAGTTTGCTTGCTATTCTACTTAAAAAAGCAAAAGGAAGCGACGTGATCTGTAACACGGCCAGATAATCATCTACTGCGTAGTACAGCTAAGCACCACACCCTTTTTTTTGCTTTTTTTTTTTTTTTTGATTTTTGTTTTCTTTTTTCGGTAGACATATTTCTTTGGGGAGTTTGTAGATGCCCTCATTATTTAACGTTTAATGCATTGATTGACAGATAATGTGGAAGACATTGAATGTATGAAGGAACGCAACCAAACTTGTTTACTATCACAAGCACTTGGGCTTCGCTACTATCTTATATCACATCTTTTATTGCAGCGTAAGAAGATCCACTTCTAAGAGCTCATCATTAACTTATAGCGTTTCTGTTCACCTCATCAATGCATCAATGCATCGATGCCTTTTAACGATGCCCTCTAGCAATATTCTGAAAATTGAAAAAAAAAACAAAAAAAAGAAACGCAAAACCAAAAAAAAAGCTTACATGTAAACAAACCAACCGTAAACTTGAATAAAGTGAATTTTTCGTCTTAGGGTACTTTACAATTGTGCCGAAGATTATGACTTTTTTCTTTGCTCTTTTTTAAGGGAATTTATGAGAGAAGCAATATGTAGTTTATTAACACAAATTATGGTTTATTAGTAGTTAATGTTATTTGCTTTACCAGATCGTTTCGGTTGTTATACGTACACGGAATAACCGACCTTCACCTCTTCTTATAATATTGCGATGAGCTATTTTTATTAACTTGTAAAGTTATTTCATCTTTTCTACTTGTAATATTTCTTTTAATAGATTTCCTTTCCCTTGTTTCTATAAACTGCAGGGAAATTATTTTTATTATTAATCGTTAGACGATTAGTCCTCTATTTTGATTAGAGTATATCGTGTTCTTCTTTTTGTTCGGTAGGCATCCGTACGAAGATTAGACAGATGGCGAGACAATGGACTGCTGCTTCATTTCAAGCGATCCTAAGTCACAGCGTTCTGACTAAGAGGCGCCACAGTTTTTTCTTCAACTGTAAAGCGTTAAGTGGTCACTTCTAATTGGTTACGGTTTTTGGAATTTTTTCTTTAAATGCAAACAATTTTCGACTAACCACGAGAGCAACGTTTGTAACACTCATTTGCATTAGCGAAACAGCAAAATAGAATCGTATTTTTTTTTTTTTTTTTTTTTTTCATTTATATACTAATATTTTATAATTAATAGCAATTATCAGTTCATTGTCTTATAATTAACAATTGTTATTAATAAACTATTAACAAACTGTTAATCAATATAAGAATTAGAGATATAGACGTCAGCTTCAATCGAAAGCTGAAAAAGGTTGCATTCAGCTCGCGCTGAGTTGTCTTTAGATTCAAGATTAGTTTGTGTACGATATTCGATTGCATTCTAGATCGTAACTTTCACATTTTGTATCGTATATATTTCCAATCATGTGCTTAAGCGATTTGGCAGCACTTTGTAGTCAGATGTACAAGTTAAATATCATACCATCTCCATTCAGCTTTACTTAACTGTGGACGGAGGGCTATAATGCGATTTAGCGAATTTTCAAATTTAATCGAGTTTTTGTTAACAAAGTTTCAAAATATTAATCATGATTTCAACACACGAAGCCTACAAATCTCTTGCGTTAATAGCAGTGGTTCTACAAGTCAAACATATGCACATACTTGACGAGAGTTCCGCGTTATCCTATAATGCCTGGACTGCTATGAGAGTAGTGAAAGATATACATTGATTGCACTCCTTTTTTGTAATTTTTTATCGTTGTCGTACAAGAGCCGGGAAATGGGATACAAGCTCAGTTAATAACTTTAAATTATAATTTTTCGTTTCTAGAAAAAAAAAAAAAAAAGAAAGAAACGTTTTCCTCATTTCACCTGTTCTCCTTTCCAAAAACTTTAGTCACCTTGTTTCTAATGAAATCGCATTCTGTTTGCTTCCACGTATTCCACGTATTTCAATGACACAGATCTAAATGTGTTTGAATCGTGGATTAATGACTCATTTTGGATTTTTGTTTTTTACAATTAAATCTGTGAACATTTCATCACGTGTACCAACTAGAAGAATAATTTATTTGAATGATTCATATAATTAAAGATGAAATAATTGTTTGTGGAGCAATCTAATCAAATCTACAGTTTCTGTTCGTTTGGGTGCTAAACAAATCAAATTATGCCACAAATCACACAGTTTAACGCCCACTGTTATGAAATGGCAAAGAGTGCAGGTTTATAAAACAATTCCAAGTGGCGGAGACATTCAGTCAGTCAGTCAGTCAGTCAGTCAGTCAGTCGTCAAGCTAGTTTTATTATATTCATTTATATCTATTAGCCAGGACAGGGTGTGTAACATAGTTGTGGTTGCTTGTTCGTCGTTAGATGTAATTGGTTTTCTTGCCGATGTTTTGTTTCTATTTTTATTTATTTTTTTTCTATTTAAGCGTAGAGCGTAACAACTGCGTCTTCCGCATTTAAAAGTCAAAACATCAATCTGGGCATATATTTAAACAACAAATACATACATCCAACTATGCATACGTGTATGTATGTATGTATGTATGTATGTATGTATAAACATCTTTAAATATGTGTGCATATGTGCATGTATCTGTAATAAATAATTCATAACTTATGTTAGCAATCATTTCCGTTATATATTTTGTATGAACATAAAATGTACTCATACGTGCCCCGTCGTCTACAAAATATTACAACACATAGGTTGTTATGTTTGTTGTGTGTTTGTTAAAACACAACAAATGAAAAAAAATATAACGAACTTTTCTAAAATAACATGTTGAAATATATGCGTATATACGTATTGAACAATTTGTGATGGAATTTCCCTTCAACACGTACGAAGTGAATCAAGATTTCATCAGACGGACAAGTTCCAAACATAAAGTTTTTCTATTATTAAGTTTTCACTAGCATATATATATATTAAGTTTTTGTTCAGACCTACACGTGAATAAAAGTTTAACAATCCATTCAGGGTGATGCCTAAGCAAGATTCGCGTACTGTGAAATTTCTTAGTTTCTGCTTTCATCAAAGAGATTGCATAAGTAGGTCCGTGTCCTTTTACTGTTCGGCCGTTGCGTATAGTTGGAATGCTCACGATCGCAACAGCCGAGCGAAAAAGCTGAAATTCATTGATGCACCATCAACCATGATGGCAAATGTACATCTAGTCTTGAGGACGGATAGAACTTATAGCAGGGTACAACCTGGAGCAAATATAATCTAACCCACTGGACGAAGCAACCTTATATAATACGTACAAGAAACAATCTATGGGATCTTTATGGGATAAAATCGACAGCAAGTAGAACCTATGCTGGATGCAAATTATAGCAGATACAACTTGTGGTGTAAACAGTCTACTCCATATATAATGTATACAAGGTACGATCTGTACCCAGTTTGAACTATGCGAGGTAAAATCTCTAGCAAATACAATCTGGTCTAGATATAAACCGCTCGATCAGTTACAGTTACAAAGTGCAGGTTGTAAAACTTATAGCAGATACATCGTTTAGGAGATGCCATCTATAGTGAACACAATCAAGAGTGCATTAGGGCCCTTCCCGTGGTGAAGCAAAAGTTATTTCCCGATGGTTCTACGAAAATGCAGTAGAGCCACTAGTTGGTCGTGCGCTGCCCCTACTTTACTAAGAAATCACACAATTCAACCTAATGCAGAGGCAGTGATAATTATACAGGTAGAATTATAATATATACAGCGTGTGTGACCGTTAGCAGATATCAATGTCAATACAACTTATAGCTGATAAAGCGTTAAGCAGATTGAATTGACAACAGACACAACTTGCGCCACTTGAAAAATATAACAGATATAATATTCGCAGATACAACCTATAGACAATGTAATCTGTAACCAGCATAACCTCTATAAAATCTCTATAGCAAATAACATAGTCTATATCAGATATATATATATATATATATATATATATAAACCACATCAGGCACAGGTTAACATTGGCATAACCTACAGCTGATATATTATATAGCAGAGACAAGATCGTATAGTGGATGCAACTGATACCAGATAAAAGTCAGAACAAACATAATTCCCAGCCGATAAAACCCACAGCCGGTATAATTCTTAGCTACAAACGAAAACATATATAACGTCTATCTAAGTGCAAACCCTAGCAGATGTAATCGCTAATGGATACAAACCACAGTAGGTATTATCCGTAGCAGATACAAAACAGTTTTTACACACGGTCACGAATCCGGTCCGCGTTCAGTAGCATTATTAGCTTTTTCTCGCTACTTCTAAGCCTATATTAGGTCTATAATTCCTAGCAGATACAATTTATAGCCGATGTGACCAAGAGGGTCTACAGAGTTTACAAAATAAAAACCCGCTATTACCTAGTGGTTAAAAACTAAAGCACATATAATATACGTCTAGATACAAATCCTAGCAAACATAATTCCTAGGGGTCACAAGCTACGATCGTTATAATTCCTTGCAGATACAAACCGTCCGTATAATTTCTAGGTACAAATCAAAGCATATGTCATATGTTCGTAGACGTGAACCCCAACAAATGCAATCTCTAGTAGGTACCAGTCATAGCAGTCATAGTAGATAGAATGCTAGTAAATGGAATTTGTAGCCAATGCAATCTATAGGGTATACAGCGTATAGCGGATAAAATCTATAGCACACGCAATCTTGAGCAGTTCCATAAAGTTTACAAGAAATTGTTAGCTAAAGCTTCAGGTGGTTAGCATAAACGATTGTTTTGCTTTCTTACTTATTTATTGTTAGTTTCTGCAGCACCAAGCCCATCGGTTTATTATTCATGGATGTGAAGAGGATCTTCCACGATATTAATAATTTATGCCATTTAATATAAAGTGAGCCGAAAAGCTTTCTTTACAATACCAATAAACCGATTCAGTAAAGTAATGCGTTGTAGTTTTGCTTGATGCTTGAATAGAGACATAAAAACCAATTTGGGCGATAAAAAGCAGAACAAGTAGATATCTGCGCATTTCTTTCTTTCTTCTGGGTGCAGTTCTTTGCAAGCATTTAAATTTTGAAATTACATACGTGTATGCAAATATTTATGAAGTATCGTACGAAAGGTGTTCTGAAGGTGAAGTGCATACAGCATAGATTTAGCATAAAACGTCATTTTGTCACTTTGTGCAGATGTTCTTTATTATAACTGATTCACATTTGAAAATGCCGATGTTGTTCGCCTATGTTGCCCATAAAATGCAATGATTGCCTTAAAGCGTTTTGTTTTGTAACAATTTTTTGATTTCTTCTTTTTTATTTTTCGCCTGCCTTTACAGCATCACTTTACTGCTTAAGAGTAGTCATTCATGGCGAGATAAATTGTGGTGTAAGAATTACCGAATTATAAATCGATACGTGCTGGCCCATATGTGTATTGGCTATGCAACTAAGAGGGTATTATATCACACTTTGATAGGTTAAGGAGGCTTGAAATAACTACAGAATATGTGTATATGCCTGCTTAAGATCGTTATGTATGAAGATATGCTTATATACGTTTTCATTTGTGCTCGTTATTTTTGTAATACCGCCTTGGATTTGATTTCCTAAGTTAACGTTATTGACCGTTTTTTTTTTTTTCTTCTTCTTTCTACTGTCTGTCGTCTGCTTTGGTCTCTGCCTTTATTATGCTTTCTTTAAAGCAGAAAATTTATGTGTGAAGAATTGTGTCTTCGAGTGAATTTATCGAAGAAAAAGCATATCTCCGCTGCGTTGCTTTATATTATATTAAAAATAATGAACTTCTATGATTGTTGGTTTTCATAAGAATTGTTATTGTTGTTGTTATTGTTCGCTTATCCGTACATATAAACTGCTATGTAAACTTCTCTATTGTCCGCCATCGATAATGACTAAGCTAAAAATGCATGCTTTTCTTTTAAAACTTATTATAGCGGAAAGAGAAAGAAAGAAAAATTGGAAATGAAATTACTTGTCATTAATTTTAATGACACCACATATTGGACATTGGCAGTAAGTAAATCGTAAACTAATGAAGTTCGTTGAAATGTTAGAAAATGTAAAATTGCTTAAAATTGAAGAGTACTTCGTAGCTAATGATCAAAAGAAGAAGAAAATTCTCTTTTGAATTTGAAAGGGTGGCCCGAGACAGAGCTTGTGGTAGAATTCCCATATCCCATAGGAAATCGATGTTGAACGAATTAATTATGAAAGATATGGAGGTGCGAAGCAACTTACAGAATTGAAAGGATTTAGAGCAACATTGAAGCCTAGTAAGACTACAGCAAAATACAACAGAATATGCGTATGATTGGAGAAATTGTCGAACAACTTCGGTTCAACTTTGTCAGTTAAGTGAAAATTGCTTAATAAGTAAAGTTTCACATGTGCGTAGATCATCAGTTGAAGAACAGCGTTACCTATTGCTAATGCAAGACGCAAGTGGCACTGGCTTGGAGGCCAATTTTTGTTATGCAATCTTCCAAGCCAATATGTATAAATTGCACAGTAGTTTGTATATCTATTGGACTCTATTGGAACTGTGCCTTGAACGACTGCAGACTCATATTTGAAACATACGAGGTTCATTTTAAAATTGAATTTTTGGCCACTAACTAAAAGTACATAGCAAAATTATTCGCTGCCCGTATCAATTGTTGCTGTTGTAAGAGTTGTAAAAAGAAATAACAGACGAAGGGACAAGTGAACGGAAAGAGCCGAATGGCAAATCTTATAGGTTATATAGAATTATATATACTCTACACACTTAAATTACATTTTCGGACTTTTAAGACCAGGGGGACAGTGCGCAATTCATTTAAAGTTATGATTAAAAAATTTAGAGGTTAAGTCCGCCTGAGAGCTCGTAGCACGCTATCGAGCTCTTAGAAGGAAAAGAAATAGATTGGTGAACAAGAAAGTAGCTCTTGTGTGTAATAGAAAACTGCGCTAAGGTAACATTCCAAGGGCTTTCCATAAAAGTGCTTTAGTTTTTACACACGGTCACGAATTACCTCTTATAGTCCGTTTCCCGTTCGATAGGAGTATTAGCTTTTTCTCGTTTCTTTTCAGTGTTAGGCCTAGCTGCGCTTAATAAATGCACAACTTCCATGAACGCTCTCCTGTTGGAGGATATTTAACGGTCAACGAGGTCTAAATTTAGGAAACTCCAATTTTCCAATTGGTCCCGTCATAACAAGCCAAAAATTAAGCTTACATGATGCGGTCTAAAAAATAGATCTATGTGATCCGAAGGACGAATTACCATCGTAAAATTCAAAGTGGCATATAAAGCCTTATTTTTGATTAGAACCCTTACAAGAGTAGGGATTCAAATTATAGACCTCTGTGGTCCAAATTCAGTAAGTTTAATTTTTATGTCAAATTATTATTACGAAAGAATTTTCAGTAAGAAGTATTATGGTACTACCTGCAGTTTTTTTTGCTTTTAAACCCGTTGAAGGTCTTTTCAAATTATATGGGGAAAGGAGACTGTTTTCATCATAAAAATACTTCTAACGATAAATTCTCCTGTTCTTGCATGATTTAGTTAATCAATTAATGTTTGCCTGCTGTAAAGTTTATGATGATCGGGACCAAATAATCTTTAGGCGAATTATTGAAAAAAGAAAAAAGCAACTCATGTTAATTAATGTTGTGATATAGCTGGAGGAGCATTTCTCACCTTGACATGTCGTCAAAGAAATTTCATAAAAAATATTTTATAGGCTTCATAAGCTTCTTAACTATCGCGTTCTTAATGAATAATGAACTAGCTATAGATAAGATACTTTTAAATCAATTATGCCACAATGAGAATAGAATTAAGCGTAAATCTTGTTTTTATTGCTTTTCCTCTATCTTACCGTTTCCCGCTACAAAGGCTGCAATGCGTTCTTTTACACTTAAACGTGTGTCCACATCGCATTTGTTACTTGGTTTATTATTTTCTTTCGCAACATCCTGAACATTCCCCTGATTTACCAATAAAGCAGTTCTTTCTGCCAAAGTCAATGGCAATGAGGCTGCTGCTGTTATTGCTGTTGTTGTTGATGGCGTGGTCGGTGTTGTCGATGTTATTATTGGTGTCGTTGCGGTGGACATTGTTAATTCATTAGCAGGACTACGCTTTACCATTGTCGTTTTAATCACAGTTGTTGTTAGTGGTGATGAAGGCGTTGTTGGCTGAGAGCGAAGTGGTGTTGTTGGCGGTGAAATTGTGTCAGCCATTCTGATCGTTTTTAATGACACGGCTGCGGGAGTTTCTATATTTAGAGGCAACGATAGACCACCTTTTTCACATTCAACGACCTGATGACCACTGCCTCCGCCATCGGCACCAACTCCACCACCACCACCACCACCACCACCACCACCGCCAATACTACGTTTACGTTTATTGTTGGTTACATTCGCAATGGTGGCTATTGTCATTTTATTAGTCCGACTAACAAAGGGCTCGGTTGGTTCTCGTAGGCTTTGCTTAAGTTGACAAAAATTGCGGCAGCTTTGATTAAAGCAAAATTGACAGTTACTGTTGCAATATTTGTTGCAATGACTGTTCCTCGATGTTTCCTTACAATTAATGGTTGAATTAAATTCACTTATATTGCTAAGTCTTTGGATTGGAGTTGTTAACGTTGTTGTTTGTTCATCTGTATGTTTTATCGTTTTAGATGTTGGTTTTAACTTAACTTCTAAGTTCGCAGTTGAAGATGTTGTTTTGCGGTTGAAATTCTCACACTTTTCCTCGTCTTCAATTGCGGTAACAAACGATGCTGATATTGTTGCTGTTGTTGTTGTTGTTGCTGTTGTTGATGCTTTTGCTTTGTTGTCCTCATTGCCACTTTGTGTTGAAATCTTTGTGACAATGGATTCTTTAGAGTCGTCGTCAATATCGATTTTTTGTATCGCTGGTTCTTGTTCTTGTACAGTTTTGTGGATGGTTAACGTTTCATCGTATAGGCTTCGATTTGTTAGGCAATTATTGCTAATGGTAGGACAGCTTTCCTCTAGCCGGCCGATTTCACACAAATGTTGTGATTTTTCTTTTACTCTTTTATCTATCGTTTCTAAACGATTTCCGCTATTGTTAACAAGCTCGACAAGATCGTCGTAATCATCATTAGCATCAGTGGTTTTTTGCTCAACTCTTGTTGCATTTATTGTCGCTATTATTTGCCTTGGCTCCTCGCTAATGTCGTTAATGTTGACAATTTGTTGAATTCCAGTTGGATTAAATGTTGTTGCGTTTGTTTTCTTTTTAGCGCATGGCCAACTTTCAGCGCGCTTATAATTTTTCACATTCGCATCAGTTTTATCTAATTTGTCCTGTTCTTCGCTAGTCGACGATGAATCATCAATGAATGTAAAATCGTTATCGACGAATATATTTTTAACGTGCAACGTTTTAGTCAATTTCGGTTGCTTAAGATTATATCGCCTACGATTAGGACAGCAACAGAATTTTGTAGCCTTCGGCGAAGTGGGTGATGAAAGCGGTGGTATTATTGTGACAGCATCTGATGACCATTTCTCTAATAATGCTAACTCACGAGCATTGGACATTGTCATATAGCCATGGAGTACGATTCTGTAACGAAATCAGAAATTGATTAATAGTTGAAAAATTCAATGAACTAAACAACTTAGAAGAATCAAGACAGAGAACAATACTGTTAAGGCTCCGAACAATTTGTGAGCAAGAATTAGAAAATAATATGAAACAATTAATTGATTATGTTCGGGTATGGCGGAATCTTTTATATCCCCTTTCTTATAAAAAAACAAAAAGAAAAACAAGTAAAAAGGCGATGATAACACAAGGCTCACCATTACGTACCCTCTTCATCACTCTACAGTTATTTGAATAACATCTCCTTAGTGATTCAATGGCAATCGTTTTCAATACTGTTCGTATTTGGTTCATATTTTCAGCAAAATGACTCAGAAAGTGTGTCCGTCTGGTATAATGAAAGGCGAGTCTATCGCAAGCCTTTCTCGGCATTGCATTCATCCGCGCAAATGCACAAACTAAAATGTCAACACTCTCTGCTAATGGATAGGAGTGGTCGATGTTTTCCTTCTTTACGGAGATTGCCTATGATCACCCATAGTATATATGTGCAAATTTTTATGTCTACATTTTTTGTAGGGTTTAAGTAGATAGTAAAAAACTTCATTTTTCTCCTTTTTTTTGGTTTCGGAAACAGAGGTATTTTCATGCCCTTTGACTGATTTTAGCCGATTTCAAAACCAATATGCGCGCAATAACTTCCAATGTTTTTACACGTTTTGAATGTTTACCATAGAAACGCGCAGACGCTGATAAACGAAAGAACAGGGATTATACATCTTTTGTAGGGCCCTTACAGTTTTCTTCTGTGCGTTGCAGACGTTATAAATAACATGACGAAAATATCCATTTTTTTTTACTGTTGTAGAGGTGGCCTCAAGTTACGTTGTACTGTGCGTATGTACGATTTCGACCATTGAAATATCAATGTGTTATCGAATTTGAAACCGATATTCTGACATTTGCAATTACGCGTATGAACCAATCAAAATCACGGACATTGGCAGACGGACGGATAGACAGTTCTATATGCATTTCATATCTGATATCGGTAAAGAACATTTGAATTTTTTGGATCCTTGTAGATTTGTTTTTGCAAACGTTTTGACAAAATGAATGAGGCCGCTATCCTTCTTTGATGATCGGCCTACATTGACTTCTTGGCTGCTATCCTTAAATGATGTGTAACATTAAGGGCAAAACAATTTGTCCAGCATAATGCTCGTATAACGTATCGTATTTACATATCGTATATATTTACCCTACTCATTAAACTGCGTGTAAGAGAATATTTTTAATCGAACCTTTGGATTGGTTTTAAAAATTAAAAACTATATCTATGTGTATTTATATTTAATATTCATATGTATAATATACATGAAACAAATAGAAGCATTATAGTAGACAGGGCTCAACGCTAAATACCCTACACTGCCATACAGTTATTCATATAGCAAGTCTTCAAAATAAGACTTTATATTGGAAGTGATCGATCCCAACCACATTCAATAAAATTTGACTTTGGGCCAAAAGACGTCAGTGTACTAAATTTCATCAAAATATCTCAATTAACATGCGGCCTGTATGTTGAGTAGAAAAACAGAAGACAGGCAAACGGACGGAGAGACAGACAAGAATTATTTTCTGAATCAATAGATTTAATAAAAGATATGTCTGAGCGTTGCTTAACACACCCTTGCACCACAAGTGGTATAGGGTACAAATAGTTTTCTATATTAACCGCGGACGAGCAGTTGCAAAAATTATAAGCAAATTTTCAAAGATTTGAAAGAAATTTTTAAAGACCGTTGCCTTTTGAATAAGTAATATAACCACTGGTTTCCGTGAAAGTCTCACATACGCATATCAATTTATATAATATAATAAGGCGGTACATAAAGAGAGCTAAACACAAGGCTATATGCTGCACACAAGCCAATTAAAAGCAATCGCAAAATTTGTAAAATAATTGTATTTTATGACCCCGGCACATATGGTTAAACATAAATAAACGAAAATTAAATGATATTTACATGACCAATAAAACAAGAAGCATACATCAAAATAATAGAAAAAAGAAATTGAGGAAAAAAAAAATAAAAACGCCACCAAGGAAGAGAAAAAAAATTTGCATATTTAATGGATATGTGTCTCTGCACGTCTGGCATAGAGGATAGTATTAATAAATTTGTGTGTGTGTGTTCATGTCGGTAAAACATGTGGAAATTAAAACGAAATGAAATGAAAATTTGTCGATGAATTGCCAGATTACGAGGTAAAAACAAATCAACTTTAGTTCAGCAGCCGTGGACCGATAGAGTAAAAGCGTGCTGAAAAACATTGGTTGCGGTGAATTAATTTTCCTGGCGGCCAATAACGTATTAATCACACTCATGTATGTAAATACAAAGTGTTAGACATATAGCCTCAGCCTTGTGTATGCTTGCTTGTACCAAAAAAAACAAAAAGAAAAGGAAACGCTAACTAACACTTGACTGTTAATGGGATCTACCATCACATTACATGGCATAGCGACGGGTTAAGTGTCTCTTTGGCAACGTTGCAACAGTCTTGTCGGCGAAAAATGCTTGTTGCAGCTACCTGTTGCAAATGCCCCCCAGCCAACGAATATCATCTTAGTCTAGTTGTGATAGCTGTGTTGTAGCCGCTCTCTCAGTAAAACTAAAAAAAATAAATAAAAACAAATTAAATAGAAAATAAAGCCGACACTCTATTGACCAGCAATAGTAAGTCATAAACAAGACCAGCAGTCAGTTAAGCAAGCAACCAACGAACCAACCAGTCAGCCAGTCAGACAGCTAACCAGAGCCAAGGTGAAACATTACAAGACCATACAAGGCTGCAGGTTTCTATATATATATATATATATATTTTTTTTTTTTTTGATCATTTCTTTCTATTCATTACCTCACAAATATGTGCGAATTTTTTTTTTTTTCTTTTTGTGTAATTTTTTAGTTGTTTTGCTCTTCATTTTTTCAACGCTCTCTATGTGCAGCGAAGGCAATTAAATGACTCAGACCTCATGCTGTTATTGCGCACACTTAATCATTCATCGACACATATTTTCTATGCAAAAAAAAAAAAATTTATATATTTTATGTAAAATGCTTAAGGCTTTTTTAACCATTTCTAAATTACAGAAAATATATTGAAAAACTAAATAAATTAACTAATAAATTATAAGGGCTTGCAAAGCCTTTCCTTTCCTTTCCTTCACTTTTCTTTCATATATATTTTAATCATTTTCATCGATTTTCATATGGAATTTTTCGTAGTGTATGCTATAGTCTTTCTACACATCTATGACTAATTGCACCGCGATGCGATACACAGATGGCGTTGCAATCATTATAAATAACTGACATGCGCAATCCTTAGTGAATTTTCGCGTTCTCTTCATACTTTTTAACATGCAACTTACGGTTTCTATTACCATTAATTTAGTAAGCGACCATTTGCGCCTAGTGCGGTGCGGTGCGGTGTTAGCAAGTGCGACTTCAATGATATCTTTGATAATATTTAATTTTCAACTATTTGTAACGATTTTCTACGCGTATTAAGACCGTTGCGGTTATCATAAAGTTTCCCGACTTTATGAGTAACACAAGTGTAATATGATACGGTTTTATTAATTCTCTTTCTTTTTTGGAATGATTTCGCACACTTGTCGAAAATTTACTATCTGTTGAATCTGTGAAGAATGAGTAAAGAGTTTTTCTTTTCTTTTCCTTTTTTTTCTTGTTGAAGAAATAGGGGCGTGGAGAAATTTTTGAAAAACATGCAAAAAACCGCGACTCAAATGAAATCCAAAGTGAAATGTAAATCAATTTAGTTTAATTTCTCCGTCTGGTTTCCTTCCATTTCGCAGATTCTGTATAAAAGTAAAAAATCTCAATTTACTTTTAACTTTGGAATTTTTCATTAAACTAAGTAGAGAAAAATCGAGAAAATCAAACAAAATAAAACAAAACCTTTTTCCTCGACTTTGTTTTTTTCACCGAATGCACTTGTTTAAGGAATGCATTTGTTTAAGCTTAGAAGAACATTACTTTTCCAAAGCTAAGGTCAGCTCCCAGAAAGTAAACCTGGAGAGAGACTATCTTGCCACTAGAGTAAATCAGATCTTATAAATGAAATTAATGCACAGGTTGCACTCATTTTCCAAGTGAAGTGGATTCACGGTGCTCAGAGATCGCAATATTTGTGGTGGAGATCAATATTTCTATAGAGAGAGTAAGCATTAAGATCGCCATTCGTTTGCATTTATGTTCTTTCGTCTTCTTAGTATTGCTCCTGTTTAGGGTCTCAACATCTTGAGTCACTCCTTTTAACTTACTTTGTAACCCTGAAAGCAGTCATTCCTCATAAAAGAAATCGATGTACGCATGTTTCGACCTCTGTTTCCTTTGCTTCACACAAAGCTCGTAAGGTATAGAGACTGAAGCTTTTATAGTGCCTAAGCAAGCAGAGCCTTGTTTGCACCTATTTATTTTATTTCTTCATCATGGTTTGTCACTGTTTCAGGGCTCGATTGCTTGGATCACTTTTTTTCATCATGCTTCTACACAGCTTGTTTCTTTTTTTATATTCCCTAAACGTGTAACACGATTACGGCCAGAAAGGAGCGGGATAGCATGTCCCTGAAGCCTAGTGCGTGCCTTCACTACTACTACACTACAACTAAACAAGCTCCACCGCACGGGGATTTGAAGCTGCGATCATCGACCTATCTCACCGTCTACTCATGGGTATAGTCGGTTTACAACTCTCGCTGTATATATTCGAGGTCTTGATGTACTTGTTTTCATGGTGATAGTTTTTCAACCAAATTACACGGCAGCTGGTGTAGAAATGTTCGCCCTTTGACCATGAGCCTCACGTTTTCCTCACAGTCCTAATACCAGCAACCAATAGGAACTGCTCGAGATATAAAGCAGGTTTATCGATTAACTAAAAACTGAAAAGTTTGTCCAATATTGCTAACACGAGCGAGCTTTAGGGACTGCTTTTTGCAGATTTAAGCAAGACTTAGCAAAAAAGAAAACAAGACGAACGAGGGAGGTAACTTACATGTCTTTTGTGAGCTTCGTACTCCCTAGTCTAATGGTTGAATGGAAAAGGAAGCTTCGCATTGACAAACAGTACTTCCTCTGAAGCGTGCGATTAAAAATTTTGAGCGAAAATAAATGTTCTTCCACTAAAGAGGATTTTTAGGAATCTTAGGAAGTTAACTTAGTTACTTGTACACACACATAGAGTGCTTCAAAACTTTAGCTCTAGCTTCGTCACCATCTAAAAGGCGTTTTCTGCAATAATGGATAAAATACAAATGAATGTTAAAAATATCATATCGTAAATATTGGGAGATTATTGATTTGAGATTACGTGCAGTCTAAAGTGAAGAATCGTTTCCGCCCTACAATGTGCACTGTCCGTAAACCTCAAGTGAATGTTGGCTTACTTTCATCTTCTTCAAGAGTTTGAGCTTTCCGTAATCAGTTTGTAATTGAATGGTAAACATGCAAACACGCAAACACACACAAACCCACACAAATAATGACCTAATACCGCATAATAATAATAATAATAACAATTTAAGATTTGTGCACATATGTGTATAATTATTAGCAAACCACATGTACATAAATAATTATTAAATTGGAAAAAAAAACTACTTGGTAAAGTCACGTACACCGTATTGTATACTGTACAGTAATGCAAAAGTTCCAGCGAATAATTTCTATGAATAAAGTATCGTGTATACATATATATATTGTAGCATAATAAAAAGTTCACACTAAGCAGAACTTTAGTGCTTCTTGCATGTTGGTTAAAGTTAGAAAGCCTTCGCAAATAGTTTCTCTCTTACTATTGGCGTAAGCTAAGTAGAGTGAAAATTGCTTTCTACTTGGGTTTGAATTTTGCAAAATTTTAAGAAATTACCTCTTAAAATGGACCGATGTACCTTTCGTTTAAAAGTATTTTCTGCCACAGCATAAAAATTTCAATCTGACTAACACCTGGTCTCAAGTTTTAAGAATAGTCTTGTGTAACCTTGTTATTCACACAAATTATTATTATTATTATTGTTATTATTATTTTTAAAAAACTTTAAATCATTTTTATTAACATTGCATATAAAATTTAATTAACTAAATCCATTAAGAGTTATTTGGGAAAAACAATTGCCCCTATATGGCATTATTTAGGTAATAAAAATTTACTGCTTTTGCAAAAACTGACATTATAAGCAAAAAAAAAAAAAAGAAAAAAAAAAAAAAAAAATAAAAAATCATTAATATTATTATTAGTTGTTTACTTTTCTGAAATAACCGGATATCCACCCAAAAAAAGCAAAACTAGTAGTAGTTAACATTATCATTAAAGTTTTTTTTTCTTTCGGATTTTTTTTTATTTATTTATTTATTTTCCTTTTTTTAATATTTTTTTAGCTATAGTTTGTTTTTTACGTAAAGTTTGTCTCAACAGAAACTGCTGGCACTGCATACTAATCACTTTAAAATATTCGGTTATAAATCACTCGTTTTGGTACTTTGTCACTTATTCCCCAGTCTCTCTCTCTCTCTCGTTTATCGTTCAATTTAATAATAGTAATAACCACAAATAAATAAAGTAAAGATTTTTATAGCAGAGCGGCGATTTAAAAACAAAAAATATATACATTTTTTTTGTTTAATTTTTTCATTTAATTAACGACGCAATTTTTTTTTTTTTTTTCTTTTTTTGCATTAAAAATTTTCATTTAGAAAAGAATTTGTGTTATGTTGTTTTTATATAATTAAATGTCAAATAATAAATAACGCGTTTGTATACATGTTTGTTTGCAAATATATATATCGTTAGTACGTCGTTGTTTATTATTATTATTACTTTTGTAAGCTATTAGCAATAAAGTGGATATTGAAATATTTAATTTAATTGAGGAATTGTTTTTATTCATTTCTAAAGTGTTTGTATCTCGTCAGTGAAAAGTTGCTGATAATTAAAATGTTATTGATTTTAAAGCGAATTCGATCGACAAGTTGAGAGATGCATAACGATTGAATCAGCATTCAGATAGACAGATAGATATACGATCTTATGTGAAAAATTGCAAATAGAATTTTAAGCTGTGTGAAGAAAGCACAAAGACTATTTTTATATAAACGGTATCGACACCTGGCCTAATTAATTTAAATAAAATTGAAAGTCACTCCGACTTAGCGAGACAATATAACCTCCTTATAATAATAAAAAAGCTTTCTTTGAATGCGGCTTTCCTAACGGAGTTATGTATAGGGTCGAAAAAGGCCTATAGAAGAATAAACTGCTAGTTAGTCTTATCCATCTTCTTCTTTATGCTGGTGGGCTTCGCGCGGTGCACAATTTCCAATCATGGTGAGAAATTTAAAAAAAAAGTCTATGAACTTTGGGTTCATAGTCGACTTTTTTCTATTTTTTCCTTTTTAAGGATCAAACTCTTGTGTTCGCCTTGCTTTGCCCTGCTTTTTCACGAGAATAGAAAAAAGCTCAGAAGTGAGTACGTGACTAAAAAAGTGTGCGCTACTTTCTATGAATTTGTAGATGACGAAGAAAACAAATGTCAACGAGAAAAAGATAAAGCAGTCAATTAAACGAGAGGCTTGAAGTAAGGCAAG